ATGGGCTCAGGCGATCCTTCCGCCTCAGCCTTCCAAGTAGCCGGAGTTACAGGCATGTGCTACCACGCCTGGATGATTTTTTTAGATTTATTGTAGAGATGAGGTCTCGCTGCCCAGGCGGGTCTCAAACCCGCGGGCTCAGTCAATCCACCCACCTCAGCCTCCCAAAGGCGCGGGATTACAGGCTGAGCCACCAAGCCCGGCTAAGGCCTCATCTTAAAACAAAACAAAAGTTTCCACAGTCCTACAGGGTGAGAATTATTACTTCCGTTTTATGGATCAGGAGCATTTTAGTCGGTTGCCTCATTTTAGTCAGTTTCACACTGCTAGGAAGAGGCACAACCAAAATATGGACCCAGGTCTTTTTGCTTATGAAGGCTGTGCCTCTACCAGAAATCGCATAAGCAGCACCTTAGGACCACTAAGAGATCTAGACTCTCTCCTCTGTTTTTGTAATCAAGCAGGTTCAACTCTAGTTAAGGCAACAATGAACATCATTCTGTGTGGTGGAGAGCTGAAAAGGTCTGGAAGAATCTCCTCTGTGACTCTCATGAAAAATTCAAAGTTGATAACTTAATGACTTTCTATTCGTTGTTGCAGTTCTTTCAATGGAGAACATGGTGAAGATATTCAGTTTCATCCTTGTTGCCACTGCTCTTGTGATGGGCAGGGAAAGTTGGGTAAGCTTTTTGTGAAAACTATTATTATACTTAATGCCTGCTTTGACCTAAGTTTTTCTTTTATTTTGCAGAAAACCTATATTAACTTATTACTGAAGAAACTTAACTAAAGGAGGAAAAGGAAAAAGGCTGGGGGTGCTTACCAAGTGTTTTAAAACTTTTTAAAAAGTAAAAAAATCAACATTTACAACAACTAAAGTAAAATCTTTTTTTTAAATTCACTTTGTTATTTGGCCAGTTACATAATATTAGAAATTTAAAACTGTCCGTAGTAATTAAAATTGACCATGGGCTTTCCAATATTGAACACTGTTAGTGTAAACTAGCCTGATTATTTGAAAGTAATTACAATGAAAGTAATTACAATGAATTACTTCCTTCATTCATGAGTAAAAAAGACAAAATACTCATTTACTCAAAGTTTTGAAAGAAAGAAATCTCCTAAATTTTACATAAGCTTACTAAGCCTATATGTACAGTCTCATAAAGTTTGGACATGCTTGGCCTGTGATCCCTTTAGTTATTTTAAAGTTGCATGGTGCACTGGGTTTTACAATATCACAACCAATTTCCCACTAAGTTACTGCAACACAGGACCCAGACATAAAATATTCCTGTTGTTCATTTTTTAGTCTATGTGACTCAAGGGGTCAAGCAAATAACTCTCTCAGAGAGGATAAATCAGAGTGATGAGAAGGGAGTACCAAGCGCAAATAAGAAATAATGCTAGAGAAATAGCTAGGAGAGACTCAGCAACTTGGACCTAGAGATGGGAGGCAGGGGAACTCTACCGTTGCGTCTCCCTTGCTATTTTGCTATGTGACTTTTGGTTTTGAGACCAAATCTCTCTCCTGATATTTACAGTCCTTTATAGGAAGGCTGCGTACCTTTTCCCTTTGCCCAAAATAGAATCTCTAATTGTGATGTTCTGACACCTAGGAGAGTACCTGGAGCACAGTAGGTCCTCATATTGATGACATAAGCTAGTACATAAAGATAAGAACAGAAAGACTTACATATATAAACTGGAAATATTTCTGGCTATAACTGAATGACTGCTTTAGGAAATAATTTGTATAAAGGTAGTGTATGGTAATTATACATTAAAATGCGCGATTTCTCAGAAGTAAACCTGTATAGTTTACTAGAAGAAATCATGACATGAGCTGCAAATAAAGATGTCATAGTAAAAATGGGAAGATGGTAAAAACTTGAGACCACTCATAGTGAGTCTCCCAGAATTAAGTACCCAAGAGCCTTTCTTAGGGCTTCTTGGCCTCAGTAACATTGCTGGGAGACCTACCTTTGCAACTCTCCTTCCCCATTCACCTTTCCCATTTTCTTTGTCTTTAGAGATCTCTGCTCAGTCAGATGCCACATCAGAAAGGAACTGATAAACTCTTTCACATGCAATATTCTTGGTTTATGTGCCTTTTAGGAGAAGACTTAACTTAACTGGATTGATTCAGCCTCTTCTCATCCCCATTTTTTTTTTTTTTTGATTTGGTGTTTCACTCTGTCGCCCAGGCTGGAGGGCAGTGGCACACTCACGGCCACCCCAGTGATGATCTGCTGAGCTCTGGCCATCCTTCTGCCTCAGCCTTCCAAGTAGCCAGAACTACAGGCACATGCTACCATGCCCGGCTAATTTTTTATTTATTGTAGAGATGAGATCCCGCCAAGATGTCCTGGCTGGTCTCAAACCCATGGGTTCAGACAATCCACTCACCTCGGCATCCCAAAGTGCTGGGATTACAGGCTGAGCCACCGAGCCCGGCCTCTTCCCATTCCTTTTAAAAATGTGTTCTATTTTTTTTTGGTAGAAAAGGGAGTCTTACTATGTTGCCCAGGTTGGCCTCAAGTAATTCTCCCACCTTGGTCTCCCAGGGTTCTGGGGCATAGTCAGCCTCCATCCTTTTCTGAAGTAGCTGAGGGAAAAATAAACAAATAAACCAAAGTTAAAATGACTCCAGTAGAATTTCTAGCAACAGGTAAATGAATGAGATACTCTGGGATACGAGGGTCTAAACTAGCGTCTCTTATAAAGATGCCATATGCTATTAGAGTACATGCATTAAATTAAATTTTGAAATGTATTCATACCAAAAGATCATTCAACAACTCCATTTATTTTGGAGATTGACATACTGTGGAAATAATTAACTTCTGTAAAGCACTTTACTGTTCAGAAAACACATATGCAGTATCATGTAGAGATTTGGAGGAGGGTTCTTGAACGGGATTTGAACACTGACTCCTCTCACCCACTAGGTGATCCTGAGGAAGTCTTCTCATCAGGATTGGGCCCATTTTTACCTCATGGAATTGTTATGAGGATCGAATAAAGCAACTACAAAGACCTTAGCATAGTGATTCTTATTATTTTATATTATTTCTTTTCTTGAGTTCAGGAGCTTTAGCAGAAGCTATGATGGCCTAGTCTTTAAAGAGGAGATCGTATTAGAACTTTTAAAATCACTTTCTGGTTGTAATAATATTCTGAGAGGGGGTGGGATTGGCAGTTGAAGGAAACTGTCAGGGGAGGGAGGGGCACATCTCATCAAGGGTACCTGCATAATGAACATCTGTATACCTAGCCCTGAATTGTACCCCATATATTTAAAATAAAAAACTCAATAATAAAAAAATAATATTCTGAAATTGGAATGGGAGACAAAATTGAATTACTGATTTATCCAAATGTTTTGTAGCATTTGTTTTCTATGAAAATGAGATGCACATTCTTTGCAGGCACTCGAAAACTGTGCCCAGGAGCAAGCGCGGCTCAGAGCCCAGGTGCGCCTGCTTGAGACGAGGGTCAAACAGCAGCAGGTCAAGATTGCACGACTTTTGCATGAGAAGGAAGTCCAGTTCCTTGATAAAGGAGAGGAGAATAGTGTCATTGATCTTGGAGGCAAGAGGCAATATGCAGGTCAGAAGTGATTTTTTTGAAAGTGTTTCAATAACTTGTATTATTCATACATGCATGTGCAATGATGGTTCTAGTTATTTGTTCACTACAGGTTTTGCCAAATAGCTTTTTCTATTCCAGTAACAATCAATATGAAGCATTATGTCAATTTTAAATATCTTCTACCATATTTTACTCTTTTCTCTCTATTATGTCTGCGGGGCACGTTTAATATGAATGCTAAGTATCTGAACATTTCTACAGTTTAATAAGAAATCAGGACACTTGACAGTTTAAATATCAGTGTACACAATCTTGGAAATGGGCCACCTGAGATCCAATCCCCACCACTACACAATATGTCCACGTAATGAATATACATGTGCACCTCTGAATCTAAAATTTTTTTAAAAGTCAGCATGCAAATGGCAGGTTACAATTGTGAATATTTACATTTGAGCTTTGTGTTTATGTATCTCTTGTTGTTACTTTTAGGTAGTTTTCTCTTCTGAAGCCCTGAAGTGCCTTAGGGTGGCAAATAAGATAATAGAATAAAAAGGCAGAAAAAGAAAAATAACCAGAATTACTGAAGAAAAGCTAAGAGTAGTTTGAATATGTATATTTTACAATTTGGTAATTTTCCTTTTGATTAGGCCAGTACTTCCTCATAGAAGCTAAATAATCTTAAATCGTCAACTTATTATATACATCACTGCACATATTGTTATTCTCTGTAAAAAAAAAAAAAACTGTTCATTTGTCTTCCTGTGGAAGTCAAAGGCGTCTTTTAGATTAAACAATGATTACAGAAGCAAAGCAAATGGCTATCTAGAGCATTTTGTCCATGTCTACTTTACCATAATACATTATAATTTCTGTTTCTGATAGCTTGGCCAATTAACTGGGCACTTTGCAAAGTCTGGGATGATATTTAATGCATTTTTACCTCCTAATTGACTATCAGAGTGCCTGGAACATAGTAGATCATATTTATGAATGAAAGCAAGGTGGTACATAAAAAGAAAAATAGAAGGACAAGGAAGTATATATTGGGAAATATATCTGACTATAATCAAAAGACTGTAGAGGTCAAAGAGATGCCAGGCTCATGGTAATAAAAATATCTTTTTTTTTGTTCTAAATGTACTCACCAATGTAGGATGTGAATTGTGAAAACTTTAGAGCCTATGTGTCAATAAAATATTTTCTTTTTCTCTCTTTACCAAGATCCTAATCTCTTTCTGCCCTGGGTTCCTGATTCTCTGTTGACCAGCATTTTGATCCTTTACCCTTGATCCTTGGAACTCAGCTGTCCTCCCTTTCCACTTAGGGGTCATAAGAAGGCCAGAACCACTGGCCTGTAATAGTTGGGATGGGTATAGGGTGAGGAAGGTCTGTGCCTCTAGAGCATAGAACAAGGAGGAACTAGGGACAGCTCAGGTAAAAACAGGCTTGAGAAACAAAGGGACTACCATGCAAGGAATGAGCTCACAGATACGTGGTTCCAAAAGTAGGTACAAATCTGATCTCATCTGGCAAGGAACTGACATGCAAGTAAGGTACTATTTTTCCATATTCAAAACCAAGTTCAAGACTCAAGTTATCTATTCAAACACAGTCTGAACAGGCTATTGACACAGATTCAAGGATCAGTTATGGCAGAAGGCAGGCAGTCAGATGTTTGTTACTGAGATTCTGCAACTAGTTGTGAGAAGACTGAGGCTTAAGACCTAAAAGTCCAGTCCTTGCATTGAGAGTGCCAGGGAACAGACCTTGGGAAACAAGAGGCTACAAAGGAATAAAGCAGGAAATCAGTTACTAGGAAATTAAAATGTCAAGGTTAGAGCAGGGTTGACTGTAAAAGCAAGAGTTAGATAGTAGAATCTATGGAGAGGGTCCAGAAAACTATTATATTGTGTGTTATAATGACAGGATACGTAATAGACATTTTAGATAACTGTTTCTGGATTAACAGCTAAAACAAAAACCCAGAAGTAAATAGATTCACACTTAATATTCTTCATATATAGTACAAGCATAAAGAAGAAAAGAGGGGAATAGAGTATAAAATATAAGTGCAGTTTAATTGTGCTCTATTTTTCAGCACATAGGCAAATAGCACTAGAGAGGACTAAGTACAGACACACAATAAATAAAACAGATAACACGCAAATTCCAATAAAATGTATATCATAGCATAATATATTATATATATAATATTGTATAAAATATATAAGAACTTACATCAAAGTTTATATTTTTAGTGTCAAATTTTTAAAGATTATTCATATATATATGATCCATAGAAATATACATCTTTGCTCTTATTTGCAAGTTACTCTATTATTATTAAATTAGTTACTTTCTAAATTCTAATTCATCTCATGGTAGAAAACATCTAATTACATACAACTTAGCAATTTGGCAAACTACACAAGTCACATGATTTTATACAGCATGTAATTAAACTGTATCTTTTTTTAAGCATTTGGGTGCTATTGAATTATGAATTAAAAGATTACTGTATCAAATTTGCATTAATTGGTGACAATCACTCTGAAGGCTGGCTTCAAAGTCCAGCTGCCCATCTTGCTAGCAGTGGCCTTTGGGCAAAGTACTTAACCTCTATATGTCTTGTATTCCTCATTTGTAAAATGGGAATGATAAGAATATCTGTTTATTTGTTGTGAGGATTAAATGAGTTAATGTATTTAACAGCAGTTTGCACAAAAGAAGTACTCAATGAATGTCAGCTATCTGTGGACATTATTATAGCCTCTCTGTCTTATTTTCAGAGGAAAGAGCCCACTAACTCTAACCTACAAGTATACCATACTCTCCAAAGAGCCAACTTCCTTTATCTTCTTCATTCTCTTCTTATGTTGTTTGGGGGTGAAGATGGTGGTGGCAGGACCAGTTCTGCCTGTCCCAGCATGCTCTGTGGAATGGTGACTGACCTCTGTTGCTGGCCTTTATTTATTTATTTTTGCTTTTAGCATGTGGGGTACTTAGTGCCTTTGGCTCTCAGCTTTGAGTCTCAGCCACAATTCTGAGACAACAAGAAAAATCCCATTTGGCAGACTGTCGTGTCACTTTGTGAGCTTAAACATTCAGCCATCCAATATGGCTTGCTTTCTGCATGATCAGAGAAACGATTCACACCACCCAATTTAATGCAATGTTTGTCAAAACAGAAGACAGGAAGCTTTGGCCTCACTCTAGTATTATGCAAATACCCCCCCCAAAATATATATCCTTTTTTAAAACAAAACAAACTCCCATGAACACAGAGCTCTTTAACTCTGCCCTTCTTCTACCTGTTCTCCAGGAAGTGAAGCGAGTTGAAACATTTTGAAAATTGTAGTTTTAAATATCGAATTAATATTTTAAACTCTACATTGCTCAAACTTTCTGCTATCACAGTTTAAGTCACATGGCAGGCTCTTGCTTACTATGAGCAGTTGAACAGCTGGCACTTTTTTGCTTTTTTAATGTTTATTTGTTGAGGTTGTTGTTGCTGGTTTTTCAGTTGAAAGCTTTTCTCTAAGTCTTAAGTAGCATTTGGCATTTTCTTCTAGGAAAAAGGAAAATTAAAAAACAAAACAAACAAAAAAGCACAAATAATAAACTTGTAGTTGGCATAAAATAAAAACAAATAGAAAATGTTGGCTGAAACCCCTATATTTACTAAGCTTTCCAGTGGAAAATGTTATAGCTAATCATTTCCACATTTGCCTGGAAAATAGTTTGAAACTTACAGGCCTTTGTTATTCAGCTATTTGGTAGGAGATTAAATGTAAGCGAAGAACTGCTTTCTCAACGGGGTTAAAGTCTGCTTACTTTAACGAAAGTGTTGTATAATATACTTGACCACAAAATGTAAACTTTTTAACAATATTGAGTTAATGTTCCTGTCTTTTTCTTCTTATTTAATTGCCAAAGCAGAGTCCTTTTAAAAATTCAGCATGTGTAAGGAACACTTGTGCTTCTGAATCTCAATAATAAATATATGAATAAAGCCTAAATCTTTACAAAAATAATCATCTCCTCAAAGCAGTAGTGTATGATTGGTCTCAACCTCGCGAAGCCTTTATAAAATGGCTATGGTTCTTTCTCTTCTAATTCCCATGGCCTATTAATCTTTTTAAAGTGCAGTAAATCTTATCTGTAGCAAGATAAAAGAGAGTTGTAGACAATGTGGCATCAAGACAATGAAAATGAAGAAACAACTTTTAAAATGCTAGAAGAATGGAATCATCCAATCAGGAAGAAAACATTTTTCTTAAAAAAAGGAAATTAAAATGATAAGAGTAAAATGTGAAAGTTGATGATGTTAAATTATAATGTCTTTATTCAAACACTCGTGTCTGGGTCTTTTGAGACTTTCTCTTTACAGTGGCCTGAAACATAGCTTCATAAGCATCTAAACAATAGAGAAATCCATATTTGTCATATTCTTTAAGTCTATACGGATCAGCCTGGATGAGACTCAATGGATATTAATTTATCCCGTCCTCAAATGGCTTAAGAAACATATTACTTTTTGGTGACAAATTAGTAGCTATGTTTGCTCCAGTGGTCAAAGAAATAGCACAGCAAAGGAGAATTAAAGGATGAAAGGAATAGCAGAAGCTTGTAATTTTTAGCAATAATATCTAAGAATATGTGGACTGTTAGAAATGTCAGTGAATTAGTTAAAAAAAAAAATTGGTGGACCTGAGAGGTTATCAGAATCTCACCAAGATTACTATTTTGAGTTCACTTCCAGATGTTCAGAAAGATTTATCAGGCTCCTGTATCAAATTATTTGTTTGGTGTTATATTTCTCCATTCACTTTTAGCTTCACAGGAGAGAGAAATTCTACAATTCTGAAAAAGCTATTAGTTTCATTTAAATATACTGTAATTAACTGAACACACATAATTGTTTAAAAATTATTTTCCACAGAAGTCAGAAATGAGAAACTAGATCCCTATTTCACTCTTTTTTCTCAATGGTCAGTCATATCAAGGAGTCAGGTAACAGATATAAGGAAAGGAAATAAGACTTTCCTAATATCCACTGGAAAGTGTAGAAAGATGCAATTTTTAAAAGTTGATTATTTACACCATGTGTTTTTCTGTCTCCATTGGTATTGAGTAATCTTATTCCAAGTCTTCCCTAAGAAAAAAAAGACATAATAAATGTTACTTTACCTTGTTTTACAAACAGATTGTTCAGAGATTTTCAATGATGGCTATAAGCACAGTGGATTTTACAAAATCAAACCACTCCAGAGCCCAGCAGAATTCCCCGTTTATTGTGACATGTCTGATGGAGGAGGATGGACTGTAATTCAGAGACGGTCTGATGGCAGTGAAAACTTTAACAGGCATGCTAATTATGATCTTAAAATGTATCTGGAATAGCAAGTGTGAGATTTATAAGTTAAATTCTTTGATTATATCCTGAAGTCTATTAATTAGAATTTTACTTTCTCTAAATAAGAATATGGAAAGAAAATTAACTAATCAAGAAAATATTAGTGGTTGGGTTGCAGGGGCTGATGATCACTTTGGGTATTACAGATGGATTTTGTTAAAATCAGCTTGCACTTTAAATTTTTTAGAGGTTGGAGTGACTATGAAAATGGCTTTGGAAATTTTGTCCAAAAAAATGGTGAATATTGGCTGGGTAATAAAAATCTTCACTTATTGACCACACAAGGTAAGGTTTTCCTGATGTCAAATTTATTTGAAATACATTAAAAGTAACACTAACATGTTTTTTACTAAATTATAGACAATGGAACTAATTCAATAATTGCTATGACTTATAGATGACAATGATAACTTTTGGTCAATAACCCCCTTTGTAAAATTTGGCTGCCTAAAGTTAGAAATAGAAAAAAGGAGAACTGAGTTGGGCTGGGAAGAATTGTTTTCTCATATATATTCTATTTCTGGAAAAGATATATCATATAATAATTCCTTCTTAATGCCTTGAGTTCTTGACGATTATGTATACTGTATCAATTATCTATTGCCACAATGATACTGTGTAACAAGCCCTTTCCAAACACAGTGGCTTAAAATCAACAAGCATTTATTACTTCTCACAAATCTGCAGGTTGACTGAGTGGTTTTCCTGATCAGGGCTGGGTTCTGCTAATCTTGGTTGGTCTTGTTTAATGGTCTACAAACAACTTCCTGATTAAAGTTCCTGCTCTAGGATGGAAGGATTCAACTCTGCTCAATATGATCTCTCATGTTCCAGCTAGCTAGCCTGCACTTGTTCTTGTAGCCAAAGCAATGTTCCAAAAATAAGGGTAGATGTGCATAAGTCTCTCTTGAGACCTAGGCTCAGAACTGGCACACAATCATTTTCTTTCTCTTGGTGAAAGAGGGTCACAGGACCAGCTCAGATTGAAGGGGAAAATAAGTAGACAATAGGAGAAGTTACAAAGTTGTACTGCAAAAGGGAGAGGTGAAGAATTGGAGAATTGGAGCTGTTTTCACATCAAATTCTGTAATATAAAATGTTTTTATATCCACATGCTCCCACCCCTTTTATTTTGAAATACTTTCAAAGCAACAACAAATTTGAAAGAAGATACAACCTTCTACCTGGATTCTACATTAACATTTTACTCTGCTTGTTTTATCATCTATCTATCCATCAAAATTCTATCTATCCATTAATCCACCTTTTAAAATATATATTTCAAAGTAAATTGTAGACATCTGTGTATACTTTTACATTCCTGTCTTTAACTAGAGTTCAATATTTGTCTAAAATATCATTACTTTGATAACAACTTTTCCAGATTTCTGTTTCCCATATTCTTTTGCTCCAATCCATTGTCTTTCTTACCTCAATTGTAGTCTAAAATTATAGTCAGTCCCACTCAAATCTGATCCTGAATGTGTCATAAAAGGCAATTATACTGCCCAAGAAAGTATGCCATTGCTTTACTAAACTCTCTGGTCTGGCCACGTGGCTCTTTGAGCTATGATCACCATGTTTTTCTTTCTTTCTTTCTTTCTTTCTTTCTTTCTTTCTTTCTTTCTTTCTTTCTTTCTTTCTTTCTTTCTTTCTTTCTTTCTTTCTTTCTTTCTTTCTTTCTTTCTGCTGGAGTCTCACTCTGTCGCCCAGACTGGAGTGCAGTGGCTGCTCCCGGCCACCACAGCCGCAACCTGCTGGGCTCCAGCGAGATGAGGTCTCTCTTCCTTTTATTTTTAATCCATTGCCAATGTCATTTAGCATGCTTTCCTTTGTCCTTTTTGTTTGTTTGTTTTAGATTGGAAAATATAGTTTATTTAGAAATTAGAGAGAAAGAGAAAAGAGATTCACCTCCCCAAGGTAGGGGAGGAGGCCGAAGATAGAAAAACATGGTGATCAGCCAGGCTCGGTGGCTCAGCCTGTAATCCCAGCACTTTGGGAGGCCGAGGTGAGTAGATTGCCTGAGCCTGCGGGTTCGAGACCAGCCCAGGCAACTTGGTAAGACCTTCGACGCTGGGGTGGCTGTGAGCATACCACTGCACTCCAACCTGGGCAATGGAGTGAGACTCTGACTCAAAAAAAAGGAAGAGTTTATTTGTTCCATCCAAGTTCAGGAAAGGTATTGGTGTTTCTGTATTCATAACAGTCATTAGAATTATGATTACTATGGTCTTTGAGACACTAGATTACTATCTAGAGGAGGGATAATCCCAGACCCCAGAACTTGGCCCTTCTTTAGATCAGTGCTCTCTAACTTTATGTAGGACTTCCTTTCCTTCAACATATTATCCTAATTTGAACTGTTTTATGCCAGATATATAATAAGATTTATTCTACCAGCTTTTGTTTCTTTTGCACATTGATACTTATCTGATTTCTTTGTATCTATGAAAACCCTCAAAGTAGTAACACTGGGCTTCTTCTAAATAAACGAAACCCAAACTTATTATTTTTCAAGTTATTCTTTTGTGCATATTTTCCCAGATGAACTTTGGCAGCAAATCTAGTTTCCTTTCATGTTTCAATCTGGTATTCAGACTGGCTACTCTAATGGTAGTAAAAATGTATTTATTAGTCCCAGACCTCACAACCATGTATCACATCATCCCAAGAAAAAGTCAGTGCCTTTGTCCCTATATTCTTTAATTATGAAAGCATTTAAAGCTAATGAATTGCCTCTGAAAAAGAGGTTTATCACTATTACATAAATTTTGACTGGAAGTAATTGCAATAATTTAGAAATGCTAGGCACAATTTTATTTACTAATTGACCAGAGATATTTTGATGGTTGTCTTAAAAAATGAGACTGATTTATATGTATCCTATAAAACAAAATATGTTTTAGAACAGTTGACTTAGCCTGCCGCACTGTTCCTATTTCCCTTCCCATGCTTGGCTCACACAACCTTTACTACCTTTTGAGATTCCGTCGGGGTGAGGAGTTTGTGTTGCCAAAGCAACAAGCCCCACAGGAACTCGGCCTCCCTCCTAAATTTGTTCCAGTATTGGGAAATTCAGAATTCCCTACCCAAACAGCCTTAAGCTTGTTTCCAGGACCTCTTCAGCCCTCTTCCTTGTCTGTCATCTTGTGCTGCTAGTGTGTACACTCCTAAGCCTGAGAGGAGGCTAACAAATGGCTTTTTTTTTTTTTTTTAATGGCTGTGACCAGAGCTTGTATATGCACCTTGGGATGTCCACAGCTGTGTCCAAGGCCACTTGCTATGTATGATAGAGATAAGGATGGGAAACTAAGGGAGATTGACCATAGACTTAGTCTGGATGATGGAACTTGGGGGCTCTTTTTCCCTGGGTTTCCATGATCTGGCTTGGAACTCCAAGGAGTCTGAGACTCTAAATTCCAACCTGGTCTTGCAGGTCGCTATGATGCTTTATTTATCAAAGTAAGAGGATAGACCCTATATGATGTAATAGCTTAGTTTGATTTATAGCTTTCTATGTTCCTGATGGTAATTCTGCTTATGAAAAAGAATAGTCTGTTATTCACAAACAATGGGGCAATGGAAAAAAAAAAGATGATTGCTTGAAGATAGTAAATTTTTTTTTTTAGATAATGCTCTTTTATCACCTAGAATTTTTATAGCCAGTAAAGTACCTCTTTTATATTTAGAGATTTGTTTCTATCATGTCATTCTTTAGCATACATAAAAATATGTGCCAAATAACTTGTTTAATTTATTCTTTAAAAACTTTCATATGTATATATCAACTCTTCCGAAATATCTTTTGACTCAGTCATTGATGTTACTGTATTTTCCAATAATTATTATCATCTGTGCTATCAAGAATGTTGTACAGCATTTCTTGAGAATTTTCTTCATTGCCTCTACAATTCTCTTCCGATGACATCCAACCTATAAACTTTGATGCTAACACTTTGATTTTTTTTTTTTTTTTTGAGTTGGAGTCTCACTCCATCACCCAGGCTGGAGTGCAGTGGCATGCTCACGGGCACCCCAGTGTTGACCTGCTGGGCTCTGGCGATCCTTCCGCCTTAGCCTTCCAAATAGCTGGAGCTACAGGCATGCACTACCATGCCTGGCTGATTTTTTTTTATTTATTGTAGAGATGAGGTCTCACCAAGTTGCCCAGGCTGTTCTTGAAACCATGGACTCAGGCAATCTCCTTACCTCGGCCTCCCAAAGTGCTGAAATTGCAGGCTAGAGGCACTACGCCCGGCCGACACTTTGTTCTTATGAGCCAGTATCAAAGGAAAGTTTTCGGATGGTAGCCAGGATTCATATTTCTTTCTCAAATGATCCTTAAAGGGTTTGCTGACTGATCTTTTTTATTATCAGGAAATTAACTAAGTCTGTGCATATGTAGGCCATGGTGACATTATGACAACCTAGTATATTGGCAACTAGAGATGGTAAGTTGTCATTAATAGCCATCTATTTGTAAGATCAGCATTCTTATTGAAATTAAGAAAAAGAAGATAAGCTATTCAATTTCTTAAGACTTCTTTCATTGTTTAATTTCTTAATCTAACTGAGTAATGGCATTTTCTGTTCTTTTCCAAGTGAGTTGCACTAACTTTTACCTATTATAAAACTAGGCACAATTTTTTTTTTTTTTTTGAGTTGGAGTCTCACTCTGTCGCCCAGACTGGAGTGCAGTGGCCGCTCCCGGTCACCGCAGCCTCGACTTGCTGGGCTCTGGCGATCCTTCCGCCTCAGCCTTCCAAGTAGCTGGAACTACAGGCGAGCGTTACCACACCTGGCTAATTTTTTATTTATTGTAGAGATGAGGTCTCGCCAAGTTGCCAGGTGGCTCTCGAACCCGCCAATTTTTTACCATTAATGTTGTGTCCCTCATTTTTTTTTTTCAAGTAAAATACACAATAAAATTTTCGTGTTATAAATATATGAAGTCACTGTTTATTCTTTAAAAGTTGATTCTTGGCAGAAGGAAATGTTAAAATTAAGATATAGTTGTAAATTATTTTCAAACATCATAGTCAATATCTGGTCATATGTTTAAAAAATTACAATCTCTTGGGGTTTTTTTTCTTTTTCAGAAGACTATACTTTAAAAATAGACCTTGAAGATTTTGAAAAAAATAACCGTTATGCACAATATAAAAATTTCAAAGTTGGAGATGAAAAGGTACCAAAATTTTCAAATAAGTAACACCATGAATTAATGCTTAAAATATACACTATAACCCTGAAGTCAGTGGCAATAAAAATATACAACAGTGCCTCTTTTTATTAAAATCAAATAGACATGTTTTTTAAAGGATGGCTACTGATAGCGGAACTTGCCTCTTTTCTTTTAGAATGCCTATGTGTTGAATGTTGGGGAATATTCTGGAACAGCAGGAGACTCCCTTGCAGGGAATTTTCGTCCTGAAGTGCAGTGGTGGGCTAGTCACCAGAGAATGAAATTCAGCACGTGGGACAGAGATCATGACAACTATGAAGGGAACTGCGCGGAAGAGGAACAGTCTGGCTGGTGGTTTAACAGGTCTGGCGTTTTCTGATCATAGTTGCAGGGATGTTGATGCTATCTCACTGGGGCAGTAACTAAAATATATGAGGTAATGTTGGTTTTTATTTGTAATGCCAGTATCATTAAGTAATCATTCTTACTAGAGTTCTTCAGCTATGCAGTAGTTCTGAGGAATTGTGCATTGTGGACGTTAGTGAAGTTTAAAAGATATGCCATAGGCTGAGCTCAACCTATCATCCCAGCACTTTGGGAAGCCGAGGCGAGTGGATTGCCTGAGCCTGTAGGTTCGAGACCAGCCTGGGTGACTTGACGAGACCTTGTCTCTACAATAAATCAAAAAAATTAGCCGGGCACGGTAGCGTGCACCTGTAGTTCCAGCTACTTGGAAGGCTGAGGTGGAAGATAGCGGATGTCCAGCAGGTCAAACCTGGGGTGGCTGTGAGGATGAGTGTCATTGCACTTCACCCTGGGCCACGGAGTGAGACTCCAACAAAAAAAAAAAAGAGAGAAAAAAAGATATGTCATAGGGGGGAGCACACCTCATCAACAAGGGTACCTGCATAATGAACATTTGTATACCTAATCCCGAATCCCCATATCTTTAAAATTAAAAATTAAAAAAAGATATGTCACAAAAATGAATCAAATTATTCCTTTTACAAAGATCTTTGCAGACTGAATAATGAATGAGTTACAAATAGTAGACCACAGGTCAACCCAAATAAACAGAGAGTATATATACATATGAAAAATATTTGTAACGTCCTAATAACTAACCAGTTCTTTATCCTCCCATATCACACAAAATAGCCATTGTTATTGCTGTATATTTTTCTATGTAATAGTATTTTTCATTCATGGTAACTTTCATTAATTCATTGAACCCAAGACACCCTCAATACAGAAATTTCCTTTACAGTATTTCTGAAACCTAATTTTATCCTCTGATTGAATATTTTAATGTTATTTTACCAGCAAATTAATTCCGTTTTTGATTATACATAGCTTTTTTATTGATACAAAATATTTTACATATTTATAGTGTATATGTATTTGTTACATGCATGTAATATATAACGATCAATCAGAGTATTTGTGGTAGCCATCACCTTGAGTATTTATCAATTCTATGAATTGGTAATATTTCAAGTCTTCTAGCTACTTTGAAATCTACAATACGTTGTTGCTATAGTCATCTTACTCTGCTATTGAATATTGGTATTTATTTTTCCTATATTACTGTTTGTCCATACCCACTAACCAAATTCTCCTTATCCTTCCTCCCACCCACACATTCTTCCCAGCCTCTGATATCTATCAACCTATTTTCTATGTACAAGACATCAACTTGTTTCGCTTCCACATATAAATGAGAACGTGCAATACTTGCCTTTCTGTGCCTGCCTTATTTCACTTAACATCATGACCTTCAATTCCATCCATGTTTGCTGCAAATGTCCGAATTTCATTCTTTCTTATGGCCCATTCATTACTTATTAGCTGTCTTGGTTATCGAACTGAAAAAACACAGTATGTACAGAATTTGGTACTATCCTTGGTTTTTGGCATCCACCGGAGGTTTTGAAATATATACCCTGCAGTCAAGGGAGAACGACCATAGTTGCAAAAAACAGTCATTTTTTTTCCCCCTGGATTTTTCTTTTTGTAAAATAAAATTTTTGTTCATTCAACCTTCCTCATTTGTAATGAAAGTGGAGTACATGCCAAGAGACATAAAATCCTCTTTCCTACTTTGCAAACTGAAGGTGATGATAATCTTTTCCCTGGTAATTTTCCTGTTCTTTTAAAAGCCATCTTCTTTACCTTCTCCTCCTCTTCCTTTTTCTTCCCTTTGTTTTACATAAAACTTACCTATAATTGATCACTGCAGGCATCAGTAATGTTTGATTCCGTATACAGAAATAATCACTAATATTACCATGAGATCAAAACCACGTACTTTATCCAGTTGATTGGCTTGTGTGGCACCTGAATGACAATTGCCACACATATTAATGTGGGGAAATACATTATTACCTAATTTTAAAGAAATGAGTTTACAGAGAACAAGGAAAGGGAATTCAGTAGCTGGAGCCACCCAAGGAGCCTGCATTATCTTTGGTGTCAAAGGAGATGAATCCCATTAGGGAAATAGGAAACCTTAGCTAGTCTGTGACCAATTTTCCAGCATGCTTAAGTTTCTAGAATATCCTGGACTTCAAAGTACATTTAGAGATGGTTGAAGTTCCATCCCTTAATCAACTGAAAAAATCAAAAAAAGCTGGAGAGAAAGTAGATTGTTCCAAAAACTTGGTGCTACTTCTACCATGACTGCTACTACTGTTGTTTAGCGCTATCATCTTCTTTCTTTCTTCTCATTCTTTTTTTATAATTCTTCTAATTTACATAAAATGTTGGCACTTCATAATTATTACCCACTTATAAGATATTCTTTTTACACGTAACAAACCACTCACTGATGCCTTCTCTGCTTTGTTGGCATCGCGTCTCATGTGAGTGCATGCCGTCACTTCACCGCGGAGCCCCAACTATCCCTTAATCTTGTTTCAAGTCCAGGCTGTTCTAGAAACTGAAGGATGCTGGAAAATTGGTCTCAGAATAGCTAAGATTTCCTGTGTTGACCATAGAGTCAGTGTCCTAAAGGGATTCAAACCACAGACCAAATATATATGTAGCAGATGCATCTAGATAGACAAATATATGCCAAAATATACATTCTGGAGTCTCAGTTTATAGTATTTTCTTTCTTAATGTCACTTTTCATGTTGTTTTAAAAACACAGTAGGATCTTGACATTTGCACATTTTGCATACATGTTTAATTGCATTCACATAAATTAGGAGGACTGCAAGAATGGTAGTAGGAGTGAATTACTAAGCTAAGTGATCTAAAGCGGCTACTCAGCTTTTACTTTTGCATACGCTTTTTTAATTCAATAATTTGGGTTATTTTCATTGATGTCCAGAACTACCTCTTGTGAATGCTCTCCTTGTTTCCTAATGTCTCGTGTCTTTTTATAATTATACCAATAGAAAAATATGTGATAACTAATTTCACAATCACATAACACAGAAAATTATCACATACTCTACATGTAATTTATGCATATCAAGGACAAAATTTACAGACTCCAGAGGAGGAAAAGAAACTTTTTAAAATTGATGATAAACTAAAATTGATGATAAACACTAGATTGGTATAATATATGTAAGAAATTAGTTCAGCAACTCAAGCAAATGACTGTTGGTTGATGGCTGGGAAAACTTCAAATGGTGGTTAAGGTTTTGTTTACTTTCCCTTAAGATTAAAATAATTGATATGCTAGCACTTTAAAGAAAGAGAGGAAGAGAGTTTGAATTGTGAAAGCCAAGTCTTGGCAACAGATTGAGGAACATGTAAGTGCAGATTATCCGGGGAAACCCGCAGTAGAGCACCTTGTCCATATCTTGTTCTGTTAACACATGCCTTAGCTCATATTAAGTACGAGGTGAATTCTGTCCTGAGTCAGGACGTTACAAAGACGTGTTTTATTTGCTTGTTCTTTTTTGTTTAAAGATGATTAAGAATGCTTATTTTTCAGTGCTCTAGTGGCCTGAAGATTTGTTATGGCAGTAAAACTCACCAGTTTAAAATATCCATCAGCTATAGAAATTTCTCAGCTTTTGAAAATGAATATTTACTTGTCTGAAAAATAGCAGAATTTGGGGCTTAGTAGTTTTTGATTAATTACTAGCAAAATTAATAGGGTTTCTGAAGGTATTTTTCTGGTCTGATTGCTCTGTTTTCTTTTTTTTTCTCTCCCACTAGATGTCACTCTGCAAACCTGAATGGTTTATACTACAGTGGCCCCTACACGGCTAAAACAGACAATGGGATTGTTTGGTATACCTGGCATGGATGGTGGTATTCTTTGAAATCTGTAACTATGAAAATTAGACCAAATGATTTTATTCCAAATGTTGTTTAATTGTCCCTCTTGGACTATCATTTCTGCAAATCATCTTGGTTTAAAATGATTTGAAAAATAGTAATTCTGAACATATCCACATGTGAGAATGGCAATTGTGTATACTACTTTTCATTATTCTTACTTGCATTCATTAATTAATGTACTTTTAGTGCAGTAGATATGCAATATTCATCAAATAAGTGTAGATTGTGTTAATATTTGTTGAATTTCTATGTGCAAAAGACTGTTAGACAAAAATAAAAAGTACAGAATATACATATATCATGACTTAGTGATACAATCATAAGTGCCTAATAAATTAAGCATAAATGAAATTGACAAAGTACATGACAAATCCAGCAAAGAATAGATTGTTAAATCAACTGCATAGACAATAAATATTATTGAATTGGGATTTGAATTCAGGTTTTGAAGTAAAGAGTTGAAACTCATAAGCAAGCACAACCCAGGATCTTAATCACTATAAAACACTACTCATATTTTTAGGATGTTTATGCAGATTTTGAACTTCTTTCACAGCCTTCACTTAAATTTTCACACCAGTCCTATGAAGCATTATTATCGCCACTTAATAAAAGTGAGAACTTATAGATCTGAGTTTTTATGACTGCTCAAAGTTACACAGCTAATCAGAGTAGGGAACAAGGACTCAAATCCAAGTCTTCTGATGCTAAATCAAATGTTTTGCCACCATCCTACAGCTAGCTTCTTTCAGATAGAACTTACATTGGTGCCAAGGGGGGAGAGAACCTTTCAAGTGAGAATAAAATAAATTCCAAAAAACCTGTGTGTGTTAACAAGTCAGGCACAGAGAATATAATTTAAGCCTACATGGGAGCTAAATTTTTTGATAAGACATAACACTAATCATATAATCACAAAAAATATGAATAATTTTAAAAGCTGATAAGCACAAAGTAAAAATATGTGCCTGGTAAATATACACCAGGAAGACCTGACCTGGCTTGGAGGGAGGGGATCAGAAAAGCTTCCCAGAAGAACTAACTTTTTGAGCTGAGTTTTCTTTTTTTTTTTTTTTGAGTTGGAG